CAAAATATATGAAGTGTATATTCAAAATATTCCTGGTCTTGCAAGGAATCCAGCAATGTCAATTATATTATCCTAACTTTAGTCTGAGGTATTATTTATTACTAAAAATGTAAATATACTGTTATAACCCAATCATTTCTCTGGTAAGGAGGGAAGGTGGGGGTGAGGGGTAGGGAGGGAGGGAGGGCCCAGGGAGCAGGTGGGAAGAGGGGGGGAGGTGGGGTATTTTGATTGACAGATAGTATTTCGCTAAGTATATTTTGTTTATTTATTGAAGATATTTGTTTTAGCTCATAAAATTCATACAAATTACCGAGTCAGAATATAATTTACATTGCTGGAATTCTTACAATTTGATGATCATTTTGAATATAAGCATCATAGATTTTGCATTAGACATACAAATATTAGATCTACTTTAAGTATTTTGTTTACTCTGAGTAAATATGCTATCTTTTGTGCAAAATATATGACATTTATATTCAAAATATTCCTGGTCTTACAAGGAATCCAGCAATGTCAATTATATTATCCTAACTTTAGTTTGAGGTAATATTTATTACTATACCTTAAAATCCAGTGTTTTCCCCCAAACATTTCTCAGAGAGGGAAGAGCCAGGAGTGTGAGACGAGGGGGAGGGGGTCGAGTCCATTATTTGAATGGACATTAACTTGGCGACTGTATTTCTCTATTTCTCTTAAGTATTAATTGTGTGCATGTACCATCATAAAATTAAGATGTTATTTTTACTAGAACATAGGTATTGTGTCGAAAAAGTGGAGTTTGGGGGTCAGCCGGTCTCTATTTCATTTAATCCCATATGTTATGTTGTTCACTTTATGCATTTCTCGCTTTACGCGGGCCTCCGTGGGTTCAATTGACCGCGTAAAGTGAGGGTTCACTGTACATAAATTCAATGGAATTTTTATAGAATATATATTATACACCCAAAAATGTAAATAAACTAGATTAATGTTTAATTAATAAGATAATACAATCATTTTGTATTGTACTCCCTGATGGGCAGAGGTGGAGCGAGTGTGTGGTGGGTAGTGGTAAGGAGGAAGGTGGCGAGTCCCCGATACCCAGAGGGGGCTTCCCTTCCCACTCTGACTAGGGTTCCCCCTTGGCTGCTGTTTGCTCCTCCTCCCTTTCAGGCTTATGGTCTTGCATTGCTTCTTCACAACACTAGCATCACTAACACTTGATGGGTGCTTGGGAGCCATTTCGAATGGTTACAGTACAGTATTTATAGTAAAAACACTTAAGCACTCACATATGCTGTGGAAGCTTAACAAAGACTGGGGAGAAAACGCTTGGGGACGCTACACGAGAGCGTAGAAAGCCAAGATAAGAGAGGGTGGCTCGCCATACAAAGTAGTCGTGTTGGGTGACAACGTTATAATGAATTGGTGGGTCGTAAAACAACGTTGTCAGAATCATGGGTATATAAAGAGTAGCAACGTTATAATGAAACAACGTTGTCCGGGACAACGTTAAGCAAGGACTGGGTGTATAGAAAAATACAATATAAAATAAGTAATTTGCATAAAAATTAAGTGACAAGTCAAATAATATGGTAAAAACAAGCATGTTACGGTTAACGAATGCCTCGGTTAACAAATTACCTTCCATAAGAATATTCAATTCGGTTAACGAATTCCTTACGAATTTTTCCCAACATGTTTTCGCCTGCTTTCCAGCTGTACTGTAGTATTAGTCCGCCAATACAGTAATCGGTTTTAGGGCTTAAATTCGTTACCAATAATTTTCCAAGACTTATATTAAATTTGTATTTAATAGTCATTTTAACAATTATTTAACATAATTGAAGTACAGGGAACTAGTTTTTAGCGCACCAAACAGTCACTTGACTCGCCCAGCATGGCGTCAGTTTGTGTCTCTGCTCAGTGTAGATAATATCTTGCTTGAGACTCTCTTGCACATAAACTATTTTTACGTTTTTACAGAACAATTATTGGTCATTCTGAAATTTATTTTACATATTGACAATATATAATGCAGTGCAGTGTTAATTTAAAGAAAATAATCTTGAATTACACCAAGTGAACTTAAAATTTTATGGGTGAAATGGCGGCATGAAGCATGGGGTGACTTCTCTTTCACCCCCACTGCCTTCTCTTCTCCCTTCTCCTCCACCCCCACTTCTAATTCCCATCATCATCAACCAGAAGCCTTCTACATGCACACCTCAAAGAAAGTGTACTTTACTGCATTTTTTTTAGTTTCAGTGAGCTGGAACCAATTACCCAAAATCCCATTGAAACAATGGTTTCGGTTAACGAACGACCTTCTGGAACGAATTGTGTTCGTTAACCGAGGGACCACTGTATATGAAGGGTACTGGTATAGGTAAAAGGGAGCTACCAAACTAGGAGGTACTACCGCCTGGGAAGATATTGGAAACATAATGTGTTGTCTAATGGTAGACCCTACTACCATAGGGCATCAGAAAAATTGTGAACAAGTCCCAAGTTGCTGATCTGACTTTCTGCCTCACACACAATTGCAGGGTCTCAATTGTTTCTTTTACTAATGACAACACAACATACATACCGTATATACTCGTGTATAGTTAGAGTTTTTAAGACCAAATTTTTAGGCAAAAAATTGGGGGTCGTCCTATGCATGCGTAATAGTTTTGTTAGGTTGAACCCGTGCATGATGGGAAGGGCGAGGAGCAACTTTTAGCTTCAGACTTGAAAAATATTTACCATTTACTGCCAGTAAACAATGGAAACGTAAAATATGTACCAATTAGTAATGAAAAGTTGTGCAGTTCCTTCAGCAAATGAAGCTCACCAACTTACAATAAGCTAAATTACCTTACAACGTTTTCAGTAGTCTATGTTGAAGTTCTTAGCACAGGCTAACTTATATCATATACGGTATCACAGTTCTCATTGATCTACAAAAAATACCGGTAATAAAAACCTTTTCGATATTTCACACTTAATATAATACCCGGTAATCTACTTCAACCTCCTATTGTTTACAACGACGCATGACGCACCACCAGCTGTTGAGTATCAGCTAGACGGTACACGTGTTTTTCGAATCGTTTTCAGTTAAAAAACTGTTACATCACATGTATATTTTACCTGAACTGTGCCTGAATGAATATATTCTCGGAAATAAATAGTAGTTTTGCTGAAACGTGATATATTTTAATGTAAAATATGATAAAATACATGACGAAAACAAAAGATTTTACCTAACCCTCCGATGTTCAAGAGAAGTTACTCATTTTTTAATAGTTTTTGGTTAAAATATTGTTATATTACAATGGTATTCTATTCATACTGTGCTTGATATAATGCATTCACGGAAATGTAATATTTTTGCTGAAATGACGTATGTATTACAGTGGAAAGTGGGATAAAATCGTGACGAAAACAATGACTTTCGCTTTCTTTCGTTCAAAAGATGTTACCGAAATCGCTTTTCGAATGGTTTAGTTAAAAACTGATGTTATTACAATAATATTCCCTCCTAATTCACTTGAATGGAAATACACAATATTTTTGTTGAAACTACCCGCGTTTCAGTGTAAAGTGTCGTAATAATAAATGGTAAACAATTTGCCTTCGGCACTCGTGTTTCAGGCACGGCGAGCCTCAGTTTATAGGACGTACAGCGTTTTTAGTGAAGGTTTTGTTGTTCCATTACCCTAAAAAATGTGGGTCGAACTACAAACGAGGCATATCGTAAATTAACGATTTCTTGGTCAAAATATCAGGGTCAACCTATAAACGAGGGGGGGTTATAGACGAGTATATACGGTATATGGTTTCTCACTTTCTATCTTTTTTTCATCTTTGTATTTCATTATGGTTCGTTATTATATTATTATTATTATTATTATTACAGTATTATTATTATTATTACAGTATTATTATTATTATTATTATAATCATTATTATGCGGGTCAGTGACCTGTGCCTGGGTGGGCTAATCCCCGAAAAAAAAAAATATATATATATTACAGTAACATATCTTTACGAATTAATAATCAACAAATAAAAAATATTTTGTCGCATTAGATACTGATACCGAGACAAAGGATTCTTTCTATAACTCCCTGGACACAACATCCCCAGGACAGACAAGCTACTCCTCATGGGCAACTTCAATGTTCTGTAGATCAGACATAGATGTCTCATGGACTGAGCTCTGAGCAGCCATCCACCAAGCACCTGAGGATTCAATCGGTTGCAGCATGCCTGGGAAGATATTGGAAGCATAATGTATTGTCTAATGGTAGACCCTGCTGCCATGTGGCATCACAAAAACTGTAACCAAGTCCCTGGTTGCTGATCTGACTTTCTGCCTCATTTACACACAATTGCAGGGTCTCAATTGTTTCTCTTACTTTGACAACACAACATACATATCGTTTCTCACTTTTCTTTTTTTTATTTACTTATGGTCCTTTATTAATATTATTATTATTATTTTATTTTCAGGCCCTTATGTGGGTCATTGACCTGTGCCCTGGTGGGCTAATCCCATTAAAAAATAAAACAAAAACTTGTCAGATTCTTAAAATAATTGAACAAATGGGACATCATTTGTATTGGCAATCAAGCAGCTGGCTGCCAGCAATAAATGTTGAAAGATCACTCCTAGGACCTTCTAAAAAAAGTGACTTGTAGCCTTCAGCTCTGGAGAGGCTGGCAGTTCACCTGCACCAAAGGCACTGAACATCTGGAGAACAACCTGACAAGAAGGCGGAAAGAAAGGCAGGTCTGACGACACCCACAAACTGCAGGAGTTGCCCCTACTGGTCCACAATACCCCTGCCCCACCAACAGCAAAAATTGCAGCTCCATCGGCCTACACAACCACTTGAAGTAGCACCAACACCGTTGGCATTAAATACTAACCCTTTCATAACCAGGAGCCTCATCATCATTTGCCCAAGGTGGACTGCCATAAGCATGTGAAAGTACATTTCATAAATTTAAAACATTCATACCTCATCAACACTGGTATCTTTCCCCTGACTGAAACTTGAACCAGGACTACTGGGGATGTCAAGGATCATACCGGGATGACGCATTGGTGAAGTAGCTACCCTTGCATGGTTATTGCTGGTCTCTCCTGCTGCTGCTTCATCTGCAATAAAAATTATATACAGTATTTTTGTTCAATGCTCTGAATTCAACAATCAGCAATGCTACCTAGGTATGTTAATTCCTAGCCAATTCGCCAGGCCAACATACAGAAAATTAAAACATATAATAATTACTTAAGTAATATTAGGACACATCGCTACCTGGCATTTAATAGCTATCTTGAAAGTCCCTCCTTCAACCAGCCTCCATGCGCACTGCGAAGCTCATCTCTTGCCTGGCGATTCAGCTATAAAACACACAAAGGGAAGCTCCGCGAATTTGTGTTCTAATTGCTGAAATACTCACCTCCGCAAGGATATTAAATACGGTATTTGTACTCAATAGCACAGTGATGAAGTAGAGTGACTTTTATTTTGTTATGTCTCTCAAATATTGTATTTGGGACATTTTCTTATCCGACTTAAGGTCAGCATGGCGACCAAAACACATTTTCTTTGTGAGTCGTTTAGATCGTTGTGACAATTCCTTGCTTTTAAGTCACTCGGTGAATGTCGCTGTGCCCTCCCGGGCTCGTCTTCACTAAAAGAGAATATGTGAATGTATCTATTTATATATACTGTATACATATATATGTATATTGGTTACGATCTCTTTGTCCCAATTATTCACGTGCTAATATGAATACAATGACCGTCTCTCTCCCTACTCTTATGTACGTTCACAAAACCTTTGGGCTTCCGCCGTTGGGTTTCTATTTGTTCTCAGCAAAAAGGCCAGAGTTGAGTTTGTCTCTTCATAACTTTGATGTCCTCAGTAGCGGGTTCAAGCGAACTTTAGCGAGGCTGCTAGACTTAGCGTTCCTTCCGGTCTTACTAGCAATCTAGAGTTATGTTGAAATGGACTTTACACCTTCAATGGGTTATATGAGACCAATTCAGGGTGGAATTCTCAACCCAATAAATATTGCTAGAGTAACAGTGAGCTTTGCTGCCAATAGAGCGCTATGTTAGCGGCTCAGCACTGTCAACCCTGCCGGGTGATAGTGCACACGTAGGAATTTTCCCTCAAGTGTTTACTTGGGGATAATGTCTGTGCCCCTGATTGGCAACAAATAAAGATCTTGATGATCCCTCTCAATAAATGATTTGAATGAAATTATTTAAAAAAAACAAATTTAAATAAATAAGTTTCATTGGGCTAAGGGATACTTCATAAATAAGAGTCGGGAGACAGATACGAAATAGTGAGTTATTGTTTATACAGTATTACCCCGCCTAACGCGGTTTCACTTAACGCGTTTTATCATATACGCGGTGCCTCGCCAGAGCTGAACTTTCACTTAACACGGATTTTTTCCACATATACGCGGTGAGTGTCCGGCTTGAGACGCAATTTTTAGATTTGCCCCACCCGCCACCCTGCCTGACTGCCTGTTTTAGCTCATAAAATTCATACAAATTACCCGGCCAGAATATAATTTACATTGCTGGAATTCTTATAATTTGGTAATCATTTTGAATATAAACATCATATATTTTGCATTAGACATACAATTTTTCTCTTGGTAACTATGTTATCTTTTGTGCAAAATATATGACATTTATATTCAAAATATTCCTGGTCTTACAAGGAATCCAGCAATGTCAATTATATTATCCTAACTTTAGTTTGAGGTATTATTTATTAAAATTTAGTGGTTATCCCACACATCTCCTTGGGACGGTTGGTGGGGGGGAGGGAGGGACCGACCGACCATCTGTTACCCGGTGAAGAATTTTTTTTTTATTAACTGAAGATATTTGTTTTAGCTCATAAAATTCATACAAATTACCCGGTCAGAATATAATTTACATTGCTGGAATTCTTATAATTTGGTGATCATTTTGAATATAAACATCATATATTTTGCATTAAACATACAATTTTTAGATAAAAATTTTTCTCTAGGTAACTATGTTATCTTTTGTGCAAAATATATGACATTTATATTCAAAATATTCCTGGTCTTACAAGGAATCCAGCAATGTCAATTGTATTATCCTAACTTTAGTTTGAGGTATTATTTATTAAAATTTAGTGGTTTTCCCCCAAAAATTTCTCTGAGAGGGAAGAGCCAGTGAGTGTAGTGTGAGAAGAGGGGGAGGGAGTTGAGTCCATTATTTGAATGGACATTAACTTGGCGACTGTATTTCTCTTAAGTATTAATTGTGTGCATGTACCATCATAAAATTAAGATGTTATTTTTACTACAACATAGGTATGTGCCTTCAAAAAGTGGAGTTTGGGGGTCGGGCCGGTTTCTATTGGAATTAATCCCATATGTTCTGTTGTTCACTTAACGCAGTTTTCACTTAACGCGGGACCCTCTGGGTTCAATTGACCGCGTTAAGTGGGGTACAACTGTATTGGTCATAGGAATGACCTGTATAACACTAACTTACGAATAATATAACATTTATGAGTCATATTGATTAAGTTTGGGAGAAAATGCTTTCTCCCTTATTAATTATTATTATTACTTTGTGTTATAATGATATAATGTGACTCATGGTATCCTCCTAGTTCAGATGAGTGATGTTCCACTGGAGGATGAAGGTCAGGACTCCGGGCCTATGGATAATGGAGGAGACTATGCACTGTCCCTGAGGAGATACGATTGAGTGCTGAGCCACAAGGACTAGAAAGTTCAGCTCAGGCACTACATTCAAGGAATTGTCTGTCAGTAGAGAATTTGAATTCAGTAGTAGTAGTAGTTTCACCCAAGACCCAAGGGGGCCATACTACATGTAATTATAAAAAATGTACAGCGACTTGGATAACTAAGATAGATCCTCATGTGGCTTGCATAATTCATGGCAGCTGTGTCTCAAATAACTTATTTTCACCAATGGATTGTGCAGTTTGTTATGATCAAAGTTTTCAATTTCATCAAGCTACAGGTTGTAAGAAATATTTATTGCAAATACAAATTAAAAATAGGTGGAATAAGGCCTTGAAGAGTAAATTTTTGAATGTACAACAATGGATAGATCCCAAGTTGGCAGAAAGTTTAGGATTATTGGGGTTAGGTAAAAGACTTAATCCCCACTTAGACAAGACTGCTCCTGCTAAGAGAAATAAGTTATTGGACCCTCCAGACTGTGAGGCAGTAGGAAGTCCACAGAAACCTCTATCTACTCAATCTGATTTCAGTGGGTTCCAGGATCAGGATGATGAGCCTGGTTCTAATCATAGTATTCAGTCTCTTGAGCAGGAAGAACCTGTTGAGACTGATTTCATCCTATCCACATCTTGGCAACCACTTCCACCTGGGGCAAAAGTGTTGGTTACTGCGAGTGGAAACAGGCCGCTGTCGACTGACACGCAGATGCTGGATAATATTGAGTGTAAGGTTGATTCTAACAGGCCATGGATAACATTGGTAAGAGCTAAGTCGTCTTTGTTCACTAATCCACCTGAATCTGTGGATTCCTTATTCAAGATATTTTATGAAAATGTCTCTAAGCTTCCTGATATCTCAGCAACTACAAAGAGAGAGGAAGGATCATGCAACTTTGGGTCATCATTCTTTGTTTTTGGAGGGTGATACTACACTTTCTTGGCCTGATATTTGCCCAAAGATGATCTCTGAAATAAGACGAAGTCTGGGCTAATTTATTAAAAGACTTAACATTCATTCCCGGACAGGAATGCTCACAAGTTTATTTTTTTTTTAAGTTCCAATTTAATGACAAAAAGAGTTCCTTATATGATCTTTCCCAATATTTGTCGGCTTCAAAATATGTTGATACAAGTTATGAAAAAAATTTGAAACCAGTTGCCCCTGCACTGTGGCTTGAAGAATTTAAAATTAGGAAATTGGCAGCAGATGTTTGGTCTGCAATTATTATGTGTCAGTTATTAACTAAGTTTGTGCTGGACTATGAAGAAAATTCAGAAGTGGACAAATGTTTTGCTGCTGCTCTACAAGGAATCCCATATTCCCTGTACAACTCATTCTTAGATCAATTGTTGAAAGCCCTAAGACTGAAAGTCCAGCTAAGGAAACAAGCAACAAATAATGCTTCAAGTGGTAGAGCTTATTTGTTGATATGTTCTCCTCTTTCTCCTACTTTGTTTGGTGAGCAATCATTGATTAATTATAGATCATCCTTGGAGAATACAGTCGGCCCTTAACATACGCGGGTTTATAATACACGGATTTGCAAATACGCAGATTGCCCCGCCGGAGGAATATTCTGTACATTGAAGTACTGTACATTCAAATCGCGCACCATTCAAATCGCGCGCGGCACCAAACACGGGACACCGCCCGCTCCCGCAACCTCACACACACATAGCTCTCCCTCACTCAGTCAGTCTCGCTGTAACCACACTTGTGTTGACATCAGCATTGTAGTTGCAAAAATATTACATTTCCGTGAATGTATTATATCAAGCACAGTATGAATAGAATATCACTAATATAAGAGTATTTTAACCGAAAACTACTAAAAAAACGAGTAACATATCTTAAACATCGGAAGGTTAGGTAAAGTCTTTTGTTTTCATGTAGTTTATCCCAATTTATATTGAAATGCATTACGTTTCAGCAAAACTACTATTTATTTCTGAGAATATGAAAATGTAATATTTTGCTGAAATGACGTACGTATTACAGTGGAAAGTGACGAAAGCAATGACTTGCTTTCTTTCGTTCAAAAGATGTTACCGTAATCACTTTTCGAATGGTTGCAGTTAAAAAACTGTTGTATTACAATAATATTCTATCCTAATTCACTTGTGATGCAACAGTCTTTTAGCTGAAAACCATTCGAAAAGCGATTACGGTAACATCTTTTGAACGAAAGAAAGCGAAAGTCATTGTTTTCGTCACGATTTTATCCCACTTTCCACTGTAATACGTACGTCATTTCAGCAAAAATATTACATTTCCGTGAATGTAGTATATCAAGCACAGTATGAATATAATGTCATTGTAATATAACAGTATTTTAACCGAAAACTATTAAAAAAACAGTAACATCTCTTGAACATTGG